CTGACTTATTCCTATCATTTGCGTCTGTAAATCGTACATTTGAGTCAACAGCTACTGGATCGATTCAATCCTCCAGCGTATTTGGCGGTTTTTATTCCTTCTCTCGTAGGAGCGCTGCCGTCTATGAGGTGGATTAGTTTCCGCATTTGAGAACTACGTCAGTTTGTCGGATTCTGTTTTTTGGAAACGCGCGAGTTTGCCAGGTAGTTGACCTTAGTCAACTCCAATATCTAACCAGTTTCGAGTTATTTTTTAGCTGTTAGACTGCATAAAGCTCTGATACCATTTCCCTATTTAAACGATAACGCAAACGAAAAACGCTTTTTTGTGGAGGCCTTGTCATTAACGTTGCTTTTTCACTCAAACACGCTCACCGAAAAAGCGCGCTCATAACATGATCTATTTTACGGCAAAAATGTTCTTGCGTGGGACGGGCGGCCACACAGGCATCACCACGATACGAAAATTGCATCAGAGGCTGCCGGCTCAGCCAACCAGAGTGCAGAATATTTCTCAATTTCGCATGGCTGAAGTATAGCAGCCAAAAAAATCGTATCTAACACACGGCTTAATATATCACCTGAGATAGTTTTCCGGTTATATAACGCCGCACAGTATTGTTAAACATCACATCAAGCAGGCATGCTTGAATAGAGTAAGAAAATGGTTTTCGAGCACATGAAGTCTCTGTTACGTTTTCCATGTCAACCGTCTTATTGCGCAGCACATACCGATAGACTGCAATTTCCTCCTGTTAATTAAAGCAGCTCCTGTGTATTCAAACAGTGTGACTTATTATTTCTCGATGGAGCCTCAGTGGGTTATTTTAATATCATATATTTTATTATTATGATGTAACCCCTTATTGTTTTTAATTTTACGTGCATATTTACACACTAATAATTCCTTAGGTCCATACTGTTCGTAAAATAGCCTCCCATATCGTGATTCCTATTCTTGCTGGCTCTCAGAAAATTTGCTATATTTTGCTCCTGATTTGGAAAAATTAAACGCTAACGTTATTTAAATTTCGAGTCTGGAGTCCAGGTGTCCGTTATGCTATTGGGTCTTCATAATTCTTCTTATAGCAGCCACATGGTGTTGTCTATTCGGTTACTGTAATTTTTCGCACGAGTGTCACCGTTTTTATTCCAAAGGGACTTATATTTAAGTGATTCTAGACGTGCTGAATCCTTCAACTATTTTGATATTTTTTCTGTTACTAATCCTGCGACTTTTTGCGAAACTCTCTTTCTCTCTGAATGATTTTTTTGCGTTTAGTTTATTTCTCCCATTGAGGCCATGGTGCTCAAGTTGACATACTTTGCTTCCTGTGACCTGCGGGCGACTTATCAAAATAAGTCCCTGTTACCTGTCTTGAAGATGTAGGTCTTGCCTTTGCCAAGTTTTATCATGTTCAGAATGTCAGTCACTGGTTTTCACGCTGAAGACTTCCGAATCAGTAATGGCAAACACAATCCCCTTTCCTGTTATGGAGAACTAAAAATTGCATATTGCATAACACAGTCCATACCGTGTCTTGATTCCCACCGAGTCGGTGCCTGGAGTGAGACCCATAGCAGCAGGGACTGGCGAAGGTATTACCGTATTTTAAATAACCAGCAAGACAGTTTCAACGAAAGCATAGAGCTTCCTCTTCCCTACAGTTCTCTTTACGACTATAACGGAATTTGTCTCGTCTTGTGCTCCACCTTCACGGACACCAGCGGTGTGCATGACCAGTACCTCGCTGGCGGATATCTCAGTTTATACAATTCGAAAAGGTACGTGTTTCTCTTCTGTGATACAACATTTTTCACCGTCGACTAGTACTTAGAAATCCATATCTTTTCTTTCAGAAGTAAGCTCGCTCTATCTTTCCTCCCTTTTGCTTTTATTTATAATTGCAGGATCTTTCGTAACGGAATCTATGAGCTAGAACTGCGGTCGCTGCAGTCCCATAATCCTAGATCCTTAAATGAGGCTCTAGAGGTGATAATTTCGGAAGATTTCAACGCCAAGCCAAAGGAGCTCGAGGAAATTAACAGGCTTCTAAAGGTAAATTCTGTTGTTTACCCGTTCTGTGTTATCCTATACACGTCTTTTATACTCAGTGTTATCTGTGTCATAAATGTACAATTTTGTCTAGCCCATTTGAACCACGTTTCATAAACCTATTCATGCACGTTCTTTATACCTGTACGAGACGTTATTTGCCAACTTACCATAACCTGACTTTACCCTCACTTCACAGATCAATAGAAAGCAAATGAGAGGTGAATTGTTTGATACGCCTATTGATCGGCATACGCTACCATTCGTGGAAAGAACTATTGAAGAACTAAAACGCAAGTCCGGCAAAATCTTCTTGAGTCTCAAGTTCGAATTCTCGCGTTCGTATCCCCATCTGTACCTTCCTGTGATATTTGAACGACCAGTACGTTTAATTCGCTGTTTTTCCTTTTGTCCACCGGAATATCCTAATGTTATAAGCATCAGGTTTTGCCTGACTTTTAAGCGGTAAAGCTACCTAAAAAAAGCCAAAGGAGTATGGATAAAATTAAGAAACACGCCTAATAGTAGGATAAAATATAGCTTTTTTGGGTTTTATCACGTCAATTCACTCGAAAACAGCTGCACCTCCTCTTTCAGGTAGGTGCTAAGCCCCACAGTGCTCGGTGGTGACTTTCCGGTACATTTACAGTTCTCCCAGCCGACTTTCTCAGCTCAGGCATCACCTGGGCAAATAAGGCGCGATTATATGCAGTCATGATACACGCATAGAATATAATCTGTCATAAATAAGACTTTATGACTAGATTGATCGCGCATTAGTATGGGTCTATTTATACGAGTGCCAGCATACTCAAACATGAAATCTGTGGTGACAACGTTCCGTCTATATCCTATTAATTGAGTTTAGTTGTTCGAAGACAAAGAACCCATGGCTCAGTGGATTTAAGCGTTGGAGTTGTAATCAACAGGTTGCGGACTCGAGCCCCGGGTGGAGCAGCATCTGGGGTAGAGTCTAATTGGCTGAAGCCGGCTAATGAACCAGCGACGGCTATTCTTGTTTCCTTTTTCAACAATGCTCAGCTGACCATAACACTAGCGGCTGTGCGGCTGCTGATTGGGTTCGAGTGTGAGTACCAAGGCAGAGTAGGACGAGTTGATTCCGTTAGCGATCGACGGGCGTCTAGCTACTAATACCAAATAGTTTTTTCGTTATCCTGTCAGGTGATTTTTCTCCCTTTTTAAATAGATATATTTGTTCGGATTTCGAAGACCCTTATTTTGAGTCCCTCCCCTTGAACCTCCCATGGACCTTTAGACACTCAGAAAGTAGTAGTAGTACGTGGAAAACAGATTGACGTGTCCCTGTTGCATATTTCTGATTACTGTTACACGTTACGATCGTCTAGTCTTGTCTTGCTCGGTTAAATTTGAATTGGAACCAGCCGGTTCCCTTAGGTCCGTATAGCGATTAGTTGGAGGATTCTGAGTTTTCAGGTGACAAATACCGCTACTAAACTTCACATTGTAATAGGAAAAATCTGCTTTTGGAGTTCTTTTGGGGCGCGAACTTGATTTAGAGTGCCTCTTTGCAGTAATTTACACTATCTGGTAACTTCGCACTAACGAGCATGCGTATGTTAAATGCCCTATCCTGGACACTTGATTTACTACTACTTTTATGATATAAAAATCTTATCGTAATCCAACCACATACATTTAGCTTCCAACTAAGACTGACTGAAGCCAGCGTTTCACATTGCGGCACATGTCCGTCCTTAGAACATACGGACATCCGCTTAACAAAGAAGCTGGGCCAATTAACGATCGAAGTTATTTACGGCATGCGTAACTGTCCTTGCAGCGGACAGATTTATAGGCGCTTGTTTTCCTGGAAGTGTTTGGCGAAGAAACCTTGGGTTTTTCAAATCATTAGTCGCAGTTGCAGATCCAGATCGCCAAGCAGTATGTGCGCCTGTATGAACGATGCCAGGCCGTACGCACCTTTTAATTTCGTATTCACTGAATTGAGCTTCCAAATGATTATTCGAACCAATCTCTCGAAATCGAAATCATACACTGTCTAGAAAAAACTGACCGAATTTACAAAACAACGGTATGCTCCCACCAGACTGTAAAGCGTTCCGTGTCGTCTATCAAATCTAGTGCATTAAATGAAGGTTAAAATGCACAGTACGGTTTTGTGGACGTCTATAGAAATGCACAAACGTATGCACCGGAACGATAGAAAAAGCGACAGCTATTTTTAGTGATAGGTTGCTGTGAAACTCGAAGGCTCGCTCTGTGTTCTAGCACTGTTTAGGAGGAACCGCGCTTTCCGAGGGACCATCCGTTTTATTGTCGCTTGCCTATAATATCTTCCGCGATAGGAATAAGGTTTGCCGAAAAAATAGTCTATCAGACAAGCTAATGTGAACACCGCCGGTAGGGAATATTGTATGTTTGAAAATTCCTGACGCATGCCCTATCAACCTCATAGTTGTTGTAAGATTGGTCTTAAAACAAGTAGGAATTTATCAAGAAGATAACCTTAATTCCGCAGCGATTAATCTCCAGCAATTTTGAACTAAATCCGCGTTATGGATCTGACTCCTGTATATATACTATCCGTCCACATCACTAATTACCCCTCACCAAGGGGTCCAGAGACTAAAACTACGAGATCGGTAAAGCTGTTAAGCCCAACACAAGCATTTCCCAATCAACTTTGCGATCAATCACGAGGAAAGGACTTAAATTGTTTCACCGGTAGCTACGATTAACCCTAAAAGACCTACCAACTGCTGCTGTCTTTCTAAAACGACGCATCTTTAGCCATAAGTCCGCTATTTTTCCTACTTTTAATATTATATTACCCACCGATTAGTGGCCTCAACTTTGCTGTGCTTCGACCACGAGATTTTACTGCCCACTTGAATCTTTTGGTCTGCCATAGTTGCATATTTGCTTTTTACGGAATTTTAATCGTTTTCAATAGTCTTCCATCTTTACTCCGATTTCTTCCAAAGGCTTTGGGCGCAAGAAAACCTGAACAGTGGCCGGAAAAAGCAAGACTTTTCTTTACTCTTTAATTCTATCTCAATTTAGTGGAACCCGGTTGATGAAATGTACTTTAAAATGACTAGGAATGTTCGAACTGCAGATATGGATCGGGAACGAAAACCTAATAAGGACACCCTGGACAAGCTGAAGGTTTTTCCGCCCTTCTTTTTTGATTATTATTTTTGGAAGGCGATCATTAGCCGTCCTTCAGGTGAAATACTGTCTGAACTGGATGGAGATCTGATTTGGAAATTCCGTTTTTATCTTGCAAAAAAGTTTCCCGAGGTGAGTTTGACAGTATTTTCTTTTTATTTGCCTAACGCGTAGGCTGCGTTTCCGACCATGTCTTCCTGCGTTTTATACATATAAGTGCTGTCCAGTGCAAATTTCTTGTCGTTTTAGTCGGCACTACCAAAGTTTCTTCTCTCGGTTCGATGGGAATACCCCGAGCAAGTTACCCAAGCCATCGAACTGCTTCATCAATGGCCAGTTATCGACCCCGAGAACATTCTCGAACTTCTTACTAAGCAGTTCCCTCATGGTGTCTGCCGAAAGTTCGCTGTCTGCCGCCTTCAGTCTGCAACTGCTGAGGTATTTGTACTTTTGCGACTGTCTTCAACGACTTTGACACTAGAACTAATTAGCTGTCAAAGATTCCATGCATATAAAAAATCTAAAATTAACTTTGCATGGCCTGCTCGTCATTCGCTGTTCTCTGTGTACAAGGACCGGCCCAGAGTAACAGAATTTTTAAAAATGTTGTCCTCTCGGCTCTCTTGAGTCTTTTCGCCTCTATATTTTACCTTTTCAGGATCTGCAGTTGTATCTTTACCAGTTGGTGCAAGCCCTGCGATACGAAAATATTTCTGCTATCCTGGCCGTCAGCCCAATGACCGCGGAAACTGCGGCGGGCCACGTTGACTCCTGCAAAACGGACGATGCCACGGTCGCCCCCACTGATCCTGCCACCGACACATCATCCGCAGCCACATGCACGCAGGAGACGACGATGACGAAGCGAACTGGCGACGTACCTCGTGGACGTCCTCCTCACGACATAGCAACATCACTGTCCACGGTGGACTTACCTTGGGATGTTAGTTTGTTGCTTAAACACCTCAACACTCTACGAGCTTCTAAACTTAGCCACCATTTTCCTACATCCGCAAGCACGCTTTTTGGTCAACGGAGAGTGCATTGTTTTCTCTGCCTGCTCAGTCTTAATTCGTGCGTGGTCCATGTTAGGCAGCGAGCTAGCATCGCATCGGCCAATACATCCGGTTACATCTCCAGCTGACCTGACGAAGTCAGATCGCTTGTGTTTGTAAGAGAAAAAGGTGGAGTGTACTCAGTCTAACTCAGCGCCTAGTTCCCCCAAAATAAGTAAACAAACGTGTCCTGAGACCATTGTGCGACCACGCGTATCTCCTGTTGTTTTGATTTGTCTTACCATTAAAACGCTGGGTATTTAGGACATTGAAGTAGATGCGGCGCAGGATTGTTTTACCATATACAAGTTCGCGGACATTTCACAACTTCGTACACCTCGTGGTAAGGTGGAGGACCTCGTCGTTTGCGATGGACGAGCTGTCATTTGTGTCAACGGTGGAATTTTCTGTCTACGCCCGCTTGTCTTTGAAGAAGCTCGCACGCTAACTATCTGTGTTACAATATTGGAGGCCCTCCTTCGTTTGGACTGAGATACGGTTTTTAGCGACTTTTTGCTGAAAATTTAGTTCATTTCGAAATCTAGGTGTCCTCTCCTGAACGTATTCTTCATTCCACTGTCTCTTATTCTGTTTTGAGAGAGGTTAGGCCAGCTCCATCGAGTCAGTTTTCATTTGCTATTCACGTGAACCTTCTTTCACCTTATCGCTGTTTTCAGTCGCCACGTGCAAATGATTTGTAATTCTGTAAGTCAAAAACGTCTGCGATATACCTGAGTCCAGTTGAAGAATTGTGGAGCCTAAATCCTGTAGGCCAACTTTATAAATCGCTATAACAGTTTGGTTTAATTTACAAAAATAGTCAAGTTGTTTATTTGAAATCTTCTCTTTGTGACTGTGCAGACGAACTGTTCCGAACTCTAACTCCCTAGGTAATTAGATGCAGCTTCTTTTTGAGGTTGGCGAAATTCAATTGTACATACTGGTATTTGGAACTAATTTAGATACATGCAGTTCAGTTACGGAAAGAACTCATGATAAGGTCTCAGTGAAGGTGGGTTACCCGGGAATGGAGGGTTACCCGTTAGCCAAGCTGCAGGCTACCTTGGCGAAATTCAATTGTACATACTGGTATTTGGAACTAATTTAGATACATGCAGTTCAGTTACGGAAAGAACTCATGACAAGGTCTCACTGAAGGCGGGTTACCCGGGAATGGAGGGTTACGCGTTAGCCAAGCTGCAGGCTACCTGGCGCGTCCACGGGTGGCGGATAGT